AGTAGATAGAAGAGTCTAATATTTATAGGGAATAAGTAGGAGATGGCGAAACCCATCTAGTAGAGTTGTTGATGAAGTATGATACCATAAAATTGAGTCCAAAACAAATTTCAACTCCTAATGTACATCTACTTCAGCTATGTAAATTTGGTTATATCCTGAATATCCATGCATAAAAGAATACATTATATGTCCGGCAGTTGAATCTACTAAAGAATCCACCGTAGGTATTGGATATTCATCTTTGGGCGTTGCAAAGTTTAAATTTCTAAAATCTATGCACACCCTAATATTACCATTCTTTTTTAACGTCGGCACAATATTAGATAACCACTCGACGTATCTGGCTGTTCTGATAAAACCCACCTTTAACAATCGCTCTATTTCTTTTTTTACCTTAGGCAATACATTATGGGCAAAATGAGTAGAAGGTTATTTATGAGGTTTAAAATTTGGCTTAGTTGGTAACCTATGTTCTTCCAAACTTTTATCTAAACCAGGCATGTATCCATATTCTCAAGCAAAACAATCATTGTATTCCTTTAATAAAGCGATTAATTTATTACTTACCTCTAACTAAGCATCTGNCTTTATTTCGAGAAGTACATTAGGAGCAAAACGCCTAGGGGGTTGTTTATGAGGTTTAAAATTTGGCTTAGTTGGCAATCTATGTTCCACCAAATTTCTATCTAAACCAGGCATATGTTCATATTCCCAAGCAAAACAATCCTTATATTCCTTTAATAAAGCGATTAATTTATTATTTACCTTTTGACTAAGCATCAGTTGACAAATGTTGGGCGATCTTCCCTTTCGTCGCCAATATTCACTTTTATCAAAGGGTCTTGTGTTTGAGCATGCCCAGGCTTTGTGATCCTTATTACTTCATCGTCTAGGCTCCTTGTAGGCACTTCCTCTTCTAAGCAATCCACTTTGTTGACTTCTCAACCAATATTCTGCTCTAATTCGAAAACTACTAATTTTTTTTCTCAACGTCTTTAATGCTCATACTTCTTCTTTTGTCTTCTCTTTACATTCCTTACTGAAAGCCATTAATTTTGCTTTGAAGGCCTGAATATTGACCATATTTTCTTATTGTTGACAACTCATTAGAGTTGCTTGATTATCTTTTTGCCAATTACTAGCTCTTCAAGGGCCAATATGTTTGACCTCATTTGATTGAACATTTCAGTAAGTGTATCTACTAAAAATGGCTATTTCCTTTGTGCGACAATTTGAGTCTTTTTCCCATTTTGAACTACGCTGATAGGTCCATAATTTCCTTCGTACATGAACCTTTTTACTGAGTTTGCTTCTGCGACAAAGGGTCTATGGTCTACTTACACCACTTCTGCTTCGCCTTTGTCATTCCAGAAAACCAGGCATTGGTGGAGCGATGAAGGTATGCAACGACTCCCGTGAATCCAATCTCTTCCTAGTAGTATGTTGTAACTAGTGGGACCATCTATCATAAAGAAGACTGTGGTCCTAATAGTTGTTCCGATAGTTATGTTCAGTGGCATCACCCCTTTAGCCGAAGTTGCTCCCCCATTGAAACTTGTGAGAATAACTTCTGTTGGGATCATATCACTTTCTGTCTTTACAAATTTTCTCATCATTCTGGACGAGATGGTATTTATGACTGCTCCATTGTCGATGAGCACTTTTGCCACATGTATACCTTGACTAAGGCCTTCACGTACAATGGCCTCAAGTGTTTGATTAATTTCATAGTTGTTCTCTTAAAGATGACCTTTTTAGCTGCATCTATTTCCACTTTCTATTTGTCCTCCGTTGAATTATTTCCTTGTAACAAGTCTACGTGCAGTATTTCACATCGAGTTTCTGCTTCTTGGATCTCATCCTTACTTTCTTTTAATGCTTATTCTTCGATTATCCAACCTGTAGGGGGAGGTAATATTTTTGGAGGTGATCTATATTTTTCAGAGCGAGGTACTCTCACCTTTCTCTTGGGCGTCCCATATAATACATAGTAATCAAAAGAACATCCAGATGGTTCGCCCAACAAATCCACCTCGCGGACACCTTTCTGATACAGTTGCTTCAATAAATTAGTGCGCGACACTCCTTTTTTTTTTTTTCTCTCTGCTTTTAGGTTAATTTTCTCTTCAATGTCAGTCATGTCTTCGTCTTCTTCTTCATCATATACCTCCTAAGATGTTTGACATTCTTCACATTCCAGCACACACGCTTCTTCCTCGTTATCTTTTCTTTCCTCCTTTTCATTTTCCTTACTTTTGAACTCATTGGCTAGTAAATAATTATTAGCCATAACAGGAGGTAGTGACCAAATTGAATAGTGAAGGGTCATCCTTCTTTCCACGTTCAAATTTTGATCTCTCAGAAGAACTTTCTGGTAACTCTTCTATTGATTCGCCCATACTAGCCTCTTTATTATCTTTAAGAATATTTTTGTTAGCCACCTCAAGCAATTTTGGTGCCTTAGGACGTGAAGATCCCTGCTGTTGCCTCATCATTCGTGTCCATAGTTCAATTGAAAACGCCTTTGTTGGGTTCTGGTCATTTCGTTAAAAGGTACAACTCTTTCAGCATTATACTGGAATGAATGCCATACATTTGGTTGGCGAGGTTGCGGCCTGAATGTTCTCCCATTGTTTATCGGTCTGAACAACCTCTCAAAAGGTGGTTTCCCATAGAATGACATATTCTGTCTTCCACTGGACTGGAAATTTGGAATAACATTACGACGATGGTGATATCGCCATGTTCCTAGTGTTTTCATATTTTCATTCATTTCTCCCTTGCACCTAGCACACAAGATACCTTCGTCTTTTTCAGACTCATTTCCTTTGATACGTTCAAAAACACTGGGATGTAGCTCAAAATCTTATTCTCCATCATACTACCAACTTGAATTTTGGCAACTTATTTTTGAAACCAGTTGTCACCATATTCACCTCAAGTGGCTGTGGGAAAGG